AGGCAAATACATCAATGTTCACCAATAGGAACACAATCATATCTCCTCGATGAGGCTTAATGAGGCCGGATCTGTTCTTAACCTTCAATTCTTCCCGGTCGATCGATATTTCCTAAAGCTTTTCAGCGGGAGTCCTCTCTCCTTCTAATGCTTTCTCCATTTGGAGGCAAGTTTTTTTGATCGACAGGGTCTCTTAGAGCATCTCCAACAGCTTCCCCATTTCTTAATTTTGGAGAATTTAGTTAGGTTTTTGGTCCAACATATTCTCCATCTCATTCCCCAAAATAGGGATGGAGGAGAAAAAATGGGGAAGCTTTCCCAAATCTGCAGCATTCTTCAAATTTTTGGAGGAAAAAATAGATTCTTCAAAATGGGGAAGCTGTTGGTCCCAAATCTGCAGCATTCTTCAAATTTTTGGAGGAAAAAATAGATTCTTCAAAATGGGGAAGCTGTTGGAGTTGGTGTAAAAATTAGTTGGAGAATATGACTTTTGCTTCCCCATTTTGAAGAAAATTTTGAAGAAGCTGTTGGAGATGCTCTTACGCTCTCTTTTCCTTTGTCGAGAGTAGATAGCAGGATCTGGCCTCTCATTGGTTGCTCCTAGCCATACCGACTCTTTTCGGAGTCGAAAACTTCATCAGCTGATGATATGTGGAGGGGACGACTCGCAAAAGATGGAGGACAGTTCTGCCTAATGTGATATTATGGGTTAACTTGATATCCCTCACGGCAAACTGGACCTAAACGGTGGACTGTCGAGTGTACTCGCCGACCGTTAGGGGAAGTGTAATCAACCCCTCCGGTTGGAATGCATGCCCTGTAAAACTGATGAGCAGCCTCGGACAATGCTACAATTGAGACTTGTCATGTCCATCTGGTTGAAGGCGTCGATATATAGGACATTAACTGAGTTCCCCGTATTGACCATGATATTCTTGACTTGGGAGTCGTCAATTCTAGTCGTAATGATTATAGGATCACAATGAGTCGTCTCAACGCCCTTCAAGTCCGCATTGCTAAAGGAAATGACTCTTCTGCTCTTGGCTTCTTGTCGCACATATTCACCCGCAACGCATTCACCCGCAACGCTCGCTTGACATTTCTTCCGAGCGTTGTTAAATGATCCTCCAGTTGTGGGACCGCCGCTGATAGTGTTAATGACTCCCTTGTGGC